TTTTTTTTTTTTTTTTTTGGGTGCGCTTAACTACCTCCTGATTTTTTCAGGATTTCTTTTAAAAGTTATTAATATTTTAAATATATACCTTGTGCCTTTTCTAGCTTATGTGTGTGGTGAAGGAACTGGACAAATCATGGAAGAACCATTTTGCATGGGTGAGAGTCTTAATGGGACGTATAAATTAGACATTGACGGTGAAAAGGAATTGGTGGATGAGAAAATGAAGGAACTCCTTGTTGATGGCAGAAGAGAAGGAATTGCATTTGCCATGAAGGAGTTGGGCATGCAAAGGTATGTATTTTCCTTTTTTTTTTTCTTTTTTGTGTGTCTTTTCAAGCAGTCATATGTATAAGTCATGAGTTTTCCTAAACAGCTATGTTATATAAAGATGTTCTTTAACCTTACGATAGAATTCAATTGACCGAAGAGTACGAATAGATTACGTGAACTTCCAAGAATTAATTAACAGTATCTCTTTTATTAAGTTTTACTCTCTTTTTTTCCTAGAGCAAAATTTTATGGATGGCCAAACACATATGTATTTACAAAGGCAATGGGAGAGATGCTTCTCGGCCATTTCAAAGATAAATTGCCAGTTGTTATCATACGCCCTACCATGATTACGAGTACTTTTAAAAAACCATTTCCTGGTTGGATTGAAGGTTTCAAGTAAGTACCTACTCTCAATACTTTTTGAATTAAAAAAGATAATAAAATCTCTTTTCAAAATTGACCTATGTAATTTCATCTACATGTATATGTAACAGAACAATTGACAGCGTACTGGCTAGTTATGGCAAAGGAAAATTGAAATGTTTCCTTTGCAGTCCTGAGTTAGTCATTGATGTGGTAAGTCAAACTGAACACTTGTTCTAATTTTCTTCCTGGCTTCCTTGTAAGAGAAAAACGCCTGAATTTGTTAAGTCACGCAGATACCAGCAGATATGGTGGCAAATGCAATGATTGTGTCCATGGTAGCACATCCATATCAACCCTGTGATCGGATAATTTATCATATTGGCTCCTCACTCAGAAATCCTTTGAAATTCTCCGGTGTTCGCGATTTTACCACTCGTTACTTCACCAAAAATCCATGGATTAATAAAAATGGGAAGCTTGTCAAGATTGGCAAGGTTACTATGCTGAGCAGCATGCCTACTTTTCTCTGTTACATGAGAATTCGATTTCTTCTGCCATTAAAGGTCTAAATTCTATATGCCATTCAACTTAAAGCATTCAATTTTCTTATATCATCGTTGAGGTTTAGCTTCGATTTCTTGTGTTTATTTTCATTTGAAGGGTCTATATTGGTTGGATGCAATTTTTTGTCAACATTTTAAGAGAGTTTATATGGATCTTGATCGGAAAGTCAAAGTGGCAATGCGATTGGTGGAACTGTACAAACCCTATTTATTGTTTAAGGGCATGTAAGTATACATTAAACTCTCTCTCCTAGCTTACTACATCCATTAATAGTGCAGTAGTAATAATTTTTGGTCCTTTCTTTACTTTTGTGTACAGATTCGATGACAAAAATTCAGAAAAATTGCGAGTGGCAGCAATGGAGATGGGTTTAAATGTGGATGAGTTTGGATTTGATCCCAAATGCATAGACTGGGAAGATTACTTCATCAACATTCACCTTCCTGGCCTTGTACTATATGTAATGAAACAATAAATTTGGCCGTCAAATATTTTATATGCTACTCTTTCTTAGTTGATAATTGGTATGATGTAATTGACTTTGAATGTAATGTCTTAACGAATAAGAAGAGTTGTATGCATAAAAAAAAAAGTATTTAATGTACTAGTTTGGGTAGCTGGTTTTAAATTTTATATTTTCTATAACAAAATACGAATAGATACTAACAGTCAGTTAACAGAATTAATAAAACGTTATAATCTGATGTTAAATAAGAGTTATTTTCTTCGATTCGTATAGGTAATGGGTTAAAAGTGTTATAATATAAAGTAAGATATTAAAACTTATAAACCTACTAAGGTAAAGGGTTAAAAAAGTCATAGTATAAAGGTGGAGGTTAAAACCCACAAATTTATTAACGTAAAAGGTTAAAAGTAGGTTTTGCCCATTTATAATGTGTTTACAATTGGTCAATTTGGTACTACCATTATAAACTACCAACTACAATGCCAAACACATTCTTAGCTTTATATTTATATAAACCTACCATCACTCATGCTAATGTACCCAGAGTTCTTTATGCTTGCAAAATATTGCATTATTTTCTTTTCATGGATTTGTGTAGCGCTGTTCAGTTCCTTGAAAACAAGACCATTTCTAAGACATGTTTAATGTATAGAGGGGCTCTGTAACAGGCCGCATACTGTTATTAAGTCATTAAGTTTTAACATAGCTTAATATAATTGAGGGCTATTTTTGGAAAAAAAAAAAAAACTAAGATGTATTTAACTTAATTCGACGAATTATACCAAAGATAAGGTGTTTTTTAATATATTAAATGATAAATTATACAATAAGTGATAGATTTTTTCCATCTCCTCACTTATCTTAGAAATCAAACTTAAAAGTCTCTAATGTGGAATACCAAATATAAGTTATTTATGGAATTTAATTGAATTTTTGGATTTTCAAAAACTATAGAAATTCATTTATATTCATTTGCAAATGAATTCCATAGTGAATCCATTTATTTTCATGTGATAATTAATTGCAAAGACAAGAATTAGTTGATAAATACTAGTTGTAATCCCCACGCATAAAAAAAATAAAAATAGAAAAGGCAAAATACCCAAATCCACCCTCAAAGTATAGTGGCAGGGACGGATCCACCCTCGAACAAAAAACGAGGACAAATCCACCCACAAAGTTTTCAACTTGGACAAATCACCCCAAATTTAACGTGTGACGTCATTTGACATCAGTAATTCGTTAATTCGTTAACGGATTGCTGACGTCAGATGACGTCAAATTAACAGATTGCTGATATCAAATGACGTTACACGTTAAATTTGGGGTGATTTGTCAAAGTCGAAAACTTTGTGGGTGAATTTGTCCCTATTTTTTGTTCGAGGGTGGATCCATCCCTGCCACTATACTTTGGGGGTGGATTTGGGTATTCTGCCAATAGAAAAAATAACTCGCAATATACAATGTACAACATTAATAGCTACTGTGTTGTGTGGTTGTGAGGGGCGGATCCTCTTAGGCCCAATATAGGACTTGGGCCTACCATGCAAATGAAAAAATTAGAAAAAAAAAA